TATATATATATATATATATATATATATATATATATATATATATATATATATATATATATATGCTTCTGTTACACAAAGTCTAAAAGGCTTTCCAGTGTGGGTGGGGGCGCATCAATCACAAGTCTTTTTTTGTTTGCTGTCGTCTCACTAAATTTTTCTCAACATTTTCTTTTATTTTTCCATTATTTTTGTTTTTTTCCTTTTTTTTTTTGTTTTTGTTAAATTAAACGTCGGCACCAAAACTCCTATGTTTGGATAATATAACCACGTCTTCAACTATGAATTTTATTACATTTGCACCCTTATACTGTCAAATTCAACATAATCTCTAAAATTGTGGAAAATGTTCTATAGTTTGTATTTGTTTATGCAAAACTGCAGTTTCTCATGCACCACAATTTTATATTTACAAACTAAGAGATACATCTTATGACCATCTTGTTTCAAAATATAGAAACCGAATAAGATAAAAGGAATGCAAACTGAAGAATATTCCACTAAATTTGACACGATAAAAATGAACGTACAATAAGATTCATAGTTGATGAATAGTTGTAATTACTCAAATATTATAATTTTTTTGTAATTTGAATTTACCTCGATGCGGTCATAATTTACTTTAGATGAACTGCCCTATTGTATTTTACATATTCGATTCTTGAATTTTAGTAAATAATATGTTTTTGTTTTATTTTCTTTGTGATGTATACAATTCAAAATTAATCTCAACGGCAACCACAAAAAAAAAAAAAATAAATAAATAAATAAAATCAGAAAGCACACCCAAAAATTAGGGCATCATGACCAACTCCACACGCCCCCAGGCACGCTCGATCCGATGAACAATATTCATCATATATTTCACAGTCTAATTTAAAATTAAAAAACAATTTTTTATTTTTATTTTTTTTCCTGGATGAACTAACAAGATTATTTAATGTTATTGACTCTTGTAATAATGATTATGTTTCCTTAATATTGTTCCCATTGGGCAGTAGGACAAACACTTTCAGTCCCATACTTGTTGCACTTATTACAAACATTTACTTAACAAACAATTTAATTGTACTTTACCCGCATGATTTACTAGTTTTAACATGTTATTACCAACAACACTTTAATTAACAATAAAATTAGCAAAGCAAATTTATGTACAAGAGGACCTCATTTAAAAAACAAAAATTGAGATAACGCCTTTTCATTTTAAACATTTTTTCTTATAAATTTAAATTATTCAATGTTGCACTTCGATGCTCGTAATTTCATTTTTCATTTCTCTCTTCTTCTTTTTCAGTTTATCTTTTTCTTCTCTATTTTCGCACCCAAATCTCTAGGTTATTCTCTAGCCCGACCGCTAGAACAACGACGCTCCTTCTCCTTCTCTTGGAGACGTCGCAGAGGGGGCGATTGGGGATGGAGACGGAGATGAGGAGCGGGACTGGTCTTGCGCCGTTACGTTTTAAAATGAGCAGGCGACGACTGTGAATGGTGGTGGCGGCGGTGTGGGAAGGGAGGTGGTCGATGTGGAGGGGGTTGTGGCGAGACGGACGACATCGATGGTGATGATGTGATGACGATGGGGAGTAGATCGACTTTTTTTTTGGATAGATTGCGAGGAGGACAACGCGGACGGGTGAAGTTCGCGGAGGTTGGATCCATAATCAACTATGTTTTAGTAATTGATTAAAGTCAATTCAAATACGTTTTTTTAATTCATTTTTGGATTTTAGTTTACTGATTCCTTGTTTTCGCCACATGCAGTTGGACTTGAGGACACAGAGGTGGTGTGTTTTTGTTCTGCCAGTGTCAATCCACCATCCGATTTTAATTTACCAACTTGGGCCTTCATAGTTAATGGGCTTCATGAAGGACTGCTATCATTTGGGCCTCATTTATAATATTATGTGGATATAAATAAGAAAAAAAGTTACATTTTAATACCCTTAATTAAATGCAATAAATAAAAGGGCAAATTGCACATTGCTCCCTACAAAAATATAATTTTTGCACTTTACCCCGTTAAAATTTCAAAAAAGTGAATGCGCCCCTTCAAAATGTTATTCTTTATGCACATTGGCCCTGATTGTAAAATTTCGATGGTTTATTCATTGGCATTAGATATTTTTGTTGCACAGTGCCCCTTTATATGTTATTTTTGTTGCACGTTACCCCTTAAAAACATTATCGTTTTGCACATTACCCCTTTAAAATGTTATTTTTATTGCACAATGCCCGCCAAAAATTGGCTTCTAGAGCAAAGTGCAATCAAAATAATATTTTGAAGGGGGGGTTATCCAATTTTTGAATTTTTTGGGTGCAAAGTGCGAAAATGGAAAATTTGTAGGGGGTGAAATAAAATGTAAAAAATTAGTCTAAATTTCTGACAAGAAAAAAACGACTTACTTAACATGAAAACACGACTTTCGTTCATTTGGGGGAAAACCCTTTCACCGCAAAACTTTCAGTCCTCCATTAAAAGATAAAATGAATCTCCTCAAACTCAACTTCCATCCCTACCACCACCACCGCCGCCACCGCCACCGCCACCGCCACCGCCAAATCAAGCTCCCGGCGCAATCACTGTCCTCCTTCCCCACTTCAGATGGACAAAGTTTCAAACTTTCACCGTCCATCGCTACACCCTTGTACTCTCTCACCAAGTGCGCTAAGAATTCAAAGATCAATGCGGCAATCCCAATTTCGATTGAGAAGAACGAAGACGAAGAAATTGAAGAATTTGAAGAGTACTTAGCGGAAGATGGAGAGGTTTATCAGAAGACACTAAGACTTGTGGAGTGTGCAATGTTTGCCGCTGTTTCTGGCCTCGCCTTCCTTTTGAGTAATTCTCTCGCCATTGAGGTATTATTTTTTCCAATATTCAGTTTTTTAACTTTTCTCCGTTGATTGCATATTTTTTCTGTGTAATGTTGGTAGTAAGTTTAAATTAAAGTTGTTTTCAATTACTTGTTAAAGTTGCAAAAATTGGAGATATTAATATTAAATGAAAGGTCATGTGTTCGAATCGCACCGCCACACATTTCAGATATTTCAAGTGCATGGCTTCAAATGTAATTCGACTGCACTTGACGGGGGCGTATTGGGGATATTAATATTAAATGATACATTTCACTAACAAAAAATTGATTCATCCAAAAAAAAGAAAATATAATAGATTTACAAGATTCTTTGAAATTTATCGATCTAATGGAAATCAAGGGAACAAAGATAATCTGGTTTCGATGAACAAATTTATTTTTACCGGTGATGTGGACGTTTATTGTACTTTCGGATTGTGTAATTAGAATAGTTGATAAACTCGAAGCTATATGCATAAAATCAAAGCTTCGTTAAGTTGAGATATTTTAGCATTCCCAACTTTTCTCTCTCGCGCAGACGCATTTCTCATGATCGAGAAAGTTAAATACAAAGATATGTAGGCCTGCGTAACTAATTATCTATATTAAAAGTGTGATCCTCGAACACTTACGAACATGTGCAAAATTATTGATTTGCGCAGAAATACTTTGCGTGTTTCTTTGCTTTGCCAATCGTAATGTCAACTATGAGATGGGGTATTGCAGCTGGTAGGAAAACCATGGTTAGCCACCCCATAACTCTTGCTGTTAATTATACTTTCCTTATTTAAGAAATATAGGTTACGCTGTTGTTTGATTCTTGTTCAGGTGGCAACTACTGTATTATTGATCGTATTATCTGGTCCGGTGAAAGCACTTACTTATTTGGTGAGTTCAATTAATATCTTATTTTAAAAATGTACCCTTGCTCTTGCTCGTGTTTCGATTAAGCTGATTAATGCCCGCGATATTCAACATTGATTTTTGTATTTAAAACGAGACATACAAAAGGGTTTGAAAGGGAATGTGACAGCAATCGACTTATTTAAACACATGGTGCACTTTTTTTTTTTTTTCGCCCAATCTTTTTTTACTAATAATTTTAAAGATTCGTGTTTCTAGTCTTTCGTGCCGTAAATCCATGTTTTCAACGGCGAAATATTATTATTTGCTTTTTACGAAACTTAAATCAGGCACTGATTCCGACTTATATTCTTGGCCAGTTATTGCATGGCTTGCTTGGTTTCGCCATGGGCAGTTTTTGGAGGTAAGAATCCCGGGATTTAAATATTAAATAAAAGAAGCCATTTGAGAATGTCTTATTTCTTTCGTTGATTTTTATATTTACTGTCTGTCTGTCTATTTTTTGTCAGGTCAAAGACAAGCTGGGGGGCCTCGGTTTTCATGTGCTCGATTGTATTGCTTATTTCTCTCTCAACTTTTTTCTCCGTAATAACTGAATATGTTTATCAGCTACTAATCGCAGGTGAAATATAATAAATAATTTTAATTTGCAGGTTCGAGCTATAGGAGCTCTGGCTAATGTCGTAATTGCCTCATATTTAATCGGGGAAAATATACTGGCGTTGGTATATTCACTATCTCGACTTTTTTCGGTTGTTTTATTTCTCCAATTCCAAATATATATCTAAAAAAAAAAACAAAAAAAAAAAAAAAAAAAAAAGAAATTGCTTACAAGTGTTGTTCTGCGTGCTCGTAGATCACAATTAACGTCCACGCTCTTGTCACATTTATCCTCTCGTCCATGGGCATAATCGTCGTTCCATCGATGAATTTTATTTACTTCATTTTCGGGTTTTTGGTAAGTTTTTTTCAATAGTCGACGAAACTAATAAATATTTCAATTAAAATTGTCCTTTTTAACATATCTGCTTTCTTCGACAGCTTCTGCTGAACTGTGGTTGCTTTGTGTTCTTGCTGCATCTTTTATACGCTGTATTCTTTACAAGACTCGGAATGAAGTCTTCACTTAGACTACCTAAATGGCTCGAGGCTGCAATATGACGACATCGTTAATATATATATTCCGAATATTCTTTCGACAAACTTTCGCGAATGTTACATGCACGGCGAACGATGTAGTAATACCAAGGATGCATGTGAGTATGATTAGTAGCAGCAAATCAGCACTGCAGAAAGAAGAGTTGGAATAGGGAAAATAATTTCATCCTAATTACCATGTATTTTGGGTAAATAAATATATAATTTTATTCATGTTTCCATGTGTTTGACCATAGAATTGTTGACAATTATATTTTTAATCTTTGAGTAAATTAGAAAGTTAGGTTTAATTACATATAGACCCACTGTTTCTAAAAAAATGTTACAAAAACCTCCTTTTTTAAGGTAAAATCTATCTAAAAATTCAACTTAAAACTCTTTGAGTAGTATTTTTATTTTTATCCAAATATTTTTTTAGGAAAAGAAACATTTAAAAAATACTAATACTGAGAGGCAATTTGGATGTGTTGGTTGTTGGAATCTGTCTCTTGTTGACATGATTTATTTGATGTTACACCGGGTGAAATACATCGAGTGATTATTAATCGTTGATCGGAACATAATAACACACAAGTATATGTATGTGTTCTTAGTAAGATGTAAGGACTATTCGACTTTCATAATTTGAACGGTCGCCATTCTTTATTATTTGGGGGCGGCTATTTCAAATACCACTTATTTATCAATTTCATACCACCTAAATAAAAATAAATAACCGATAGATACGTAATGACATTAATACCATTAAGGTATTAACAAGGGTATTGTCGTACTTTGTGATCTTAATCTAATAAAAAGGGGGGAAAATGTATGGTATTCAACTAATAGATATGAAAGTAAGAAAAAATCGGTATTAAAGTAATTTCGAATCATAATGAATAAAGTTTTTTTCTTCAAATAAAAATTGTGTTACTACTTCCTTACCATCAGTACAAATGTACAAATTCACAGTTGCCAAAACAGAAAGCTATTAAATTCTCACAGATCTGTAATTACATAAGATACAAGTATGTAATCAGTAATTATATACAAATCTGATATATGTGCAACTATATAAAGCAGCCTACAACTTTCAAAATGGAGAACATACAGCGCGTGCACAATGGAGAAGCCTTCGATCGTTTCGATTTTCGTATTTGTGCTCTTGTTCCTTCACTGTGGTCAGTGTTTTTTTTCTTTTTCTTGGATCTGTTTATTGATCATCAATTCATATGTTATTTTCTATGTATATATACATTGTCTGAAAAATGCATGGTTTTTTGGACAGGAATCCCGATGTTAATGAGCGCAGAAGCGTCGATTTTGGAGTGTTTAAAGGATCAAGACTGTTCATATCTTTCTTGCGCAAATCCAAAATGCATATGCCAATGCAACAAAGCAAAGCCTGCTATTGATGCTGCTGCTAAACATTCCGTCGAACCAACAGATATACCGCCATGCAGGTTTGCAGTTTGCCGGATTCCAAGTTGCCAAAATCCACATTGTGGTTGTCTGTGTTAGACTGCTAGTACTAAATCCAATTACATAAATGTGCTACACATATTTATATGTGCACTTGGTGCTGTCGAACGAATAAAATCTGCTTAAATCCCCCCAGATTCAAAGGGTCGTCTCAGTGCTATGCAACCCCAAGTTTCGTTTTTCCATGGAAAAATGGTCAAAATCAAGAACAAATCATTGACGAAAACGAATTATAGAAAGGCGACATAAACCAAAAGTTAGTGAATCTGTGTATACAGAATGAATGCACTTAAGAATTAAGAGACAACAAGAGTGGAATTTAAAATACGACTACACCATAAATAAATTATAAAAAAAAAAAAAAAAAAAAAACATTGGTCACCCTATGAAATATAACATCACTCAACTGAAAATCGGTATATTTTAGAAACTAACGTCACACTAGCAGAAAAAGCGGATTGAACTTCGTATCAATGATCAGCCAATGTTGTGCCTTATTTGTAAAATCAAAGTTGCCAGCTACAAACTGTTTCGCGGAAGAAGAAGAAATTAGCTATCCAGAAAACCAGTAAGATCCCGTATGAAAAAAAAAAAATTAAAAATGAAACATTATAATTAGTACAAAGGACTGAACAACAATCATTCGTCCAGTTGTTTAAGGGAACGTTTACCTCAAGGTTACAAATGCACAGCCAGGCGATACAGTAATCACAGCTTACGCTTCTTTCCTAGTTATCCTGCATTAAGTTGTAATCCAAAATCAATAATTTGATGGATGAAGAGATGCAGAACAGAGCCAATCCATCACGAGAGGCTATAAAATATTCTTTTTTTCACAATATTCATCCGTTTGCAAAATTAGCATGAATTCAGGGGAGAATATTCTTTACCTGAAGCAGTATATTCCCAGGGCTGTTGTTATTTCATGAATGACTGAGGTGGCAAAATGCAGATAAAGCGCCACTGCATCAAGCATAAGAAAAAATCGATTATATAACAGAATTCTATTCATTCATCCTCTAGAAGTACAAATAAGTAAAAGAAAGCGATTGGCGATTTTACATATAACAGAAACTCAAAAAAATGCAGAAAAGCCATACCTGTGTATGCAAAGAAACCAAGAACAACCCAGAACTCATCAACTAAAGGAACTCTGCAACGGGATAAATATTTCAGTAAATTTTCAAATTAATTCATTTGGTAACTCCCAGTTCTACTTGAAAGGATAATCGTATAAATATTTATTAGCAGATCAAAGTTAACACCCACCCGTCGTTTAGCCTGGCAGTGAGTCCATTTGCAATGGCAAAAGGCAGATAAAACAATGACTGCGAAGAGTAAAACACATTATCAACAGACTCCTACAGAAATGTGCCTCTGGAAAAATCTAAATAATAGTATAAGCACCAACTTCTCGAAACAAAGAGTTCATTATTAAAGTATACGCAATCTGAATCAATTATTGTCAAATGAAAAATAATAGTAAAGAGTGCATGCAAAATCCAGATATTTGTCAGATTTGTACACATCATCAAAATAATCCACCATATTAAACAAAATAATCACAAGATGAAACGCCCCCAATTTTTTTTTCTTTTTCCTGCTGGATGTTACACAAAGTGTTACTCACACTTCACACCACATTCACTGTACCAGTGTACCGTTTCTATTTATTCACAAATTCGGTCTTTCATACTTTATTTAGAAGATAAGGAGCTTTCTTGGAGAAGATATAATATCACAAGTCGTTGGTTTCACATTCAGATGGTGTGTTATCTCATGATGGACAATTTACGATATTCAACTAGAATGAGGCCATACCATGCACATGTTTGTTTTCAAGCCCTTTGGTTCATCACATAAGTGAGCAAGAATCATCCTTCCCTGCAAAAGGAATTATTTGTCAGCTCCTGCACAAGGCTACAAGCATACGTTGAGTGTGAATTTCAAGTGGAAGGAAGGGAAAAAAGGGGGGAAAAGAGAGATTGGTAGCCCTGTAAGCTCTCAAATAAGATACACACACGCTCTCTCTCTCTCTCTATCTCTCTACACACACATACATATATATATATATATATATATATATATATATATATATATATATATATATATATATATATATATATATATATATATATATATATTCATCAATAAGTAAGAACCCTAAAAAGATAGACCTACAACTACAATGATATTGAAGTTGTGCCACATCCACTACAGAGACATCTTACCACAAGAAACCCGAATGCTAGGCCAATACCCAATATGATCAGGTGCGGGTAGTTGCTCAGTAAATCAGAAGGAGACAAGTAATCCCTGCACAGTTATACTCAATAATAGATCGTAACAAATAACACACAAAAAAATAAACGAGATTGTGGAAAATCAAGAAATACCAAACAAGAACTCCACCCAGTAGCGCAACAAAAGGATAAAGCTGTCAAGAAGTAGAACGAGATATTAATTCAACAGTGAAGAACCATAATAGAGCTATTATCTATGTGTTAGACATGCATACCATTGCCAAAGCTAGCAGCATGCTTCCTTTTCTTGCCTGAACAACCTTATAAACATTGTAGACACTGCACATATAAATTACTTAAGCTTAGAACAAGAAAAATTGATGTTGAAGCAGCAAGTTGCCTAGAACATGGAGAATCAAATGCGATAAACTAATCTTGATTAAAAAAAAAAAGAAAAAAGAAAAACAATGCCCCTTGCACAATTGAAGTCCATTTTTATTGGGACCTTGCTTCTGATGAGAAAGAAATTAACCTCCAAGCAACAACGACGCAGGGCCAATTGCTAAATTACTCCATCAGTTCAACATATACGAACTGTGTACAGTAAGCTTAATTTGGACTAATAGTTACAGCCAGAGTAACACAAAAAATATATATGTAAATTCTTCAAACAACCAAGTGCCTTTTTAATCAAAATAGAAACTGTACTAACTTGAATGAGACTGTAGGTATAACGGCAGAGATTATCATTAAGTATAATGCAGCTTTGTACATCGTGATTCCTGTAGAGAGAGAGATAAGAAGCCACTTCAAAAAACTATGGACGTCTAAAAACAAGAAAAGAGAACCTAAGCAAGTAATGGTAAAGCTTGCACTGTAATATGTCAAGCAACCAAAGTAGATAAGCAGCATCGCATTACCTTGAAAACAAACGTCACTAATGATGGATATAAGTAGTTTAGTTATGCTAGATATAGTCAACAGTCAAAATAATGTGTCAACTCACCATTTATAATTGGAACCCAACTCAAGAATGGGATGGATTTCCCAAATTGCTGAGCCCACCACTCAGCACCTGAAAAGAAAGCCATCTCGACTCAAATCTTGGCAAATTTCTATTTACAGACAGACACGTAAAATCATCAAGTATGTGCAGGGAAAAAAAGTCATAGCAGCAGTACCAACAATGGCTGTGAAGAAATGGATCATATATATCAACATAAGACCTTCTGTAGGCCCATTTATCACCGGAAGAATGAGAGTATTGGTGAAATAGCTGCACAAAAATGCAAAAGAAAAAAACTAATAATTTAGGAAAAAAGCATAGCAATATGAGAGTAACTCGACAGGAAAGCCAAAATAAACTGTTTGCAGCATATACCCACCATGGAACAAACATAGAATAGCAGGAAAAAAAATGAAGCATAGATTGAAAAAACAATATTTTAAGCTGAAGTTCATGAGCCGAGGAGAGAATAGGCTCATCATACGAAGAAAGTACCTAGAGCAAAATACTAGGAAACAGTTTTCTCAGGAAGAAGTGGAAAAGGTAGAAAATTAGTATGAACAGTTTTTTCCCCAGAAAGAGTTAGGCCCATAAAGCAGTATATGAAAGTTAAAAAAGACAAATCCCATAATCTATAATGTTAAATACTTAAAATCCTGCTAACCAGTTATGAACCAGCCGAAAACCAACTTACTGTTCCCATGTAGCACAGTAAAATGGGACTGCTGATATAACCCAGAACCAAAAAGTACTCGGACCACACATGGCAGTGCTTCCAAAGGCCAAGGCTTCAAACTATAAAAGGAAGGAAATTGCATTGAAGTTAGAGATCTCGGTATCACAAGTACAACACCTAGCACAAAACAACAAAGATCGAAAAAATATACCGCACATCCAAGAGCATCACATCCTGCAATTTTGTTGAGGAAATAATTAAGATTGTCGTCAGTACCAAGTAAAAGAACAAAAGAATATCAAACTAAATAACAAAAGCGAGAATATAAAGAATGTCACAAGGAACAAAGGTTACCATGGTCAAAAAGTTCTCCCAGTGGACTAGAGGAATTTGTTCTTCTTGCTTGCTTTCCATCAACAGCATCAAAAGTCTAGAGTACATTTTCAAGACGACATAAATTGTGCAGATATATATTTAACTCTTTATCAAATATAGATAACAAAACAGAATATTTGGCAATGCAGAGACTAGAGAGTTGACGTAGTTTTCAAGCTGTTGCAAAAGAAAACCAGGTGTGCATAAATCATGTTGAAAATCTTAAACTGATTTAGAAGGTGTTTGCCGAAACTTATTTAGTAAAATTTTACAAGAATTTGCATCTTACAAGATATTTTGGAGCCTAAAAATATACTATCTTATTGTAAAATAGGCACTCAAGTGTTTGAATAACTTATACAAGTTAATGGTGAGAATTTCCAAGTATATGGTATTCTAGGGTAGCATTTTTCCTAATTTCCTTTTTAAGTTGTATGTTCTGTGTAATTGAGTATGAAGATAGAGAATATTTCACCCTTTCCAATTTACTACCGAAGTCCTAAGAAATGATACAGAACATGATATCACATTAACTAGAATAACTGGCTTTTCATCCCCAAAATGTACAAGTACAAAATTCGGCAGAGAAAATACAAATTCCTGCATCCTCCTGTATTGTATGTTCTACTTCCCATTAAAATACATAAGAAGAATGCACGCATTAGGAACCCAAATCTAGCTTACTTGATATAAGAAGAGCAGAAGTCCATGAGCAAAATGAACCCATCTAGGAGGAGGTGAATCCAGATGAGGTGAATATATCTGCAGAAGAAGTTTATAGAATCAGATATGAAGAGAATATAATAATATATAAACAAAATGACCAAGACAAGATTCACAATGTTAGCACGGCTATACAAGTACCAAACTCCCGCTGAACTCAGGAGTCATAACAAACTTATTCGTGATATCACAAATAACTGGAACTGAGTACCTTCGCTAGTATGCTGTTTCAATTTTATCAAGCAATTATTGAATTCCAAAGTCATTATCGACAGTAAGAAAGCTAAAGTTCCCGTCTGAAGTACAAACAGATTACGAAGGACATAGACGACATAAAACCAAGATAAAGTTGACTCAATACTGTTGATCATTTAAGTATAGACCCAAACTGTTTGTTGACCTTAGTGAGAAAACTGAAATCAGAAAAATATCGGAAATATTTATTTCATGTCAAAGCTCCATGAAATACAACAATAGCAACACAGTAATAGTGTTTTAAGACTATACTACATCCACAAGGCAAAGAATGAGAAGAACGAAGAACGCATTAGTCAAACAATACACGTATTAAAAGGAAATAAGGAAATACAAAGAGAGATCACTTACGTATCCAAGCAATGCAGATGTAATCAAAAACATCGCTCCTATGAGTGTAATCTGGAAATAAAATAAATACGCCACTGTTGATGAGCCAAAAGCTGAGGAAAATTTTGACACTAATCAAACTTTAATAACATAGTACTCAAAATTCAAAAAGAACTTACCATGTTAGGTCTGAAAATGCCGAGTCCATATACAAAAGAGAAACAAATAGAAATTAGAAACCATCTAATGAAGTTGGTAGAATGGATATAAAATATCACCGAGGAAATGGATTCATGAGAATAATCCAAGTGAATCATCCAGAGCATTAAAAAATGTATCTATCCAATAACAGCCACAAAAAAGTGTTCTAATTCAATCTCAGATCCAATATGAACCGAAGGTGTTTTAACTAAACTAAATGCAGATTTGTACTGTCACATCATACACTAAAACAAATTACGACCGTCGGTTGGTGATTACTGATTTAGTCCTATGGCTTGATACGGAGACATATCTCTAAAACTATGAATGGTATAAAATTTGACCACAAGAAACCACCATGTTACAACAGTAAATAATAAACTTCCAATAAATAACATTCTCAACCTCTTACCAAAGAAATTAGCATGGTATACTCGTGTTCTATACCATGTGATATAACATCCATATCCAAATTGCTTAGAAAACTTAACAAAAATAAACAAGTGCGCCATACTTGAATCAATGGTGCTTAAACAAGAGTGGCTGGCAGATCCTTAATTTCTGGCTGATAATTAATGATGCAATGATAGTAACCAAGAAAAACTATTTTTGCTTCAACAAACTTGACAACAAAAAACAGTTACATCTGCTGAACTCTATAGCTGCTATCAAATATACGACTATTCTCAGTCTTTCCAACTCATTCGCAAAATAAACGAAAAATAATTAACATTCTATAGTAAATGAATAAAAAACCATATCTCTAAAAGACTAAACCTAAGGATGGTATAAGATATTAGACACAAGAAACCACCTTGATAACAGTAAAGAATGACATTTTTATAAATTAACAATCTGAACAGACCGTGATTAAAAGTAATCGTGGTTTATACTATGTAAACAATTTTGTATCCAAACTACTAAGACAAAATTACCGAACAAAATCCATGGATCGACACTCAACAGTGCTTAAAAAGAGGGACTGGCTACTCCCTAGCTTCGTGACTGAGAAATAATGGTCTAATGAAAGAGATAACAACATGTTTCCGACTTGTAACCAAGAAAAAGCTCATTTCCTTCAGAACATTTGACAACATAAAATATTTAATGAGCTCGACTACACTCAGTCTGTCTTACTTGTGTGCAGAAAATCGAAAATATAATCTCATTTGAAAAAATCCAAAAAAAAATTGGTTGAATTCACCTAAGCTCTTCATCAATTTTTAGTACTTTGGAAGACAAGCATCCATAAATTATCTAACATAAGCATCCCCAATGTATCCAAACCGCCCGATTTACCAACTCAATGTATCCTAAACACAACTCATACAAAACAAACACCTAGAAGAAAAACAAATGAAAATGTGGAATACAACATCATATTATAAAATAGAAAAAAAGGAAGATTGATTAATTAATACACTTCTTACGGCATCCAAAGAGGGAAGAAATTAACACAGCGAGTCCAGAAGGGCTGCAGCACATATTTCGCTAACAACGAGTGATCTACTCCACTGTACTTGTGCCTATGCAACGCCGCAACTCCATGCGCCCCAATGTATCCCATTCCTTTCTCCGGTTATCCCTTTCTGCACGCGATTTGACCTTAAATGTAAAAAAATCCTGTTAGAAAACAAAATCCTCCAATCTGTATGAAATTGATTCGCGCAAACCGAAGCAGAAACAAAATGCAGATCGATTTTACCAAAACTTGAAAATTAACACGGATACCGAAAATTTCACAATTGATTTTTCAGATTACGAGAGTGGAATTAATTGGAAAATGAAGAAGATTCTGGAATCTCACCAATGTTGGGGAATGGGGAGAAGAAACGAAGAGAGAGAAATCCGACTGAGTAAAAAGGAGAATGATTCGCTCCCGCCCGGTCTAATGAAAATGGCTCTTGAGAGATTGCAGAAGATGATTGTTTGAATTTTTTTTATTTTTTTTTTGGGAAGTGTAGAAGTTAAAATTAGTTAAATTAATCAGAAGTTGGTGTTTTTTTTTTTTTTTTTTTTTTGTGAAATGTTGATGAAAATCAAAATAATTTGAAATGAGGTATCTCATGTAAAAATTATAGAAGAGTATTTATTTTTGTATAAAAGTTTTAGTTGCACTTATATAAACAATTTAATATGTATTCATATTTAGATTGATTAAGTTCACCTATTCTTTCAATATTTATTAAGATAGCGTAACGAACATTTTCGACAATATGAGTATAGTTCTTTGAAATTGTTGCGAAATCAACCAGATTTTAGATTAAAACAAGTCAGGAAATCGAACTAGACAATAGCGCGAACATCTTGCTAACTCTTTGAGATTTCAAGCAAAACATAAAATCCGCTTCGAAACACATAACTGAAACAAGAATAAAGAAGAATAATGATATGCCTAATTGGCCCAACCCAATGGGCCTACAAATTATTTACCTACCGGGCCACGAGCCCAATATCGAAGACCACTATCACCGAGGCCCAATCACCTTCAAGCAAGGTTTGGGCCCGACAATCTCAACTAAGCTATAAATACACATTTGAACTCATTCCTTAAGGTACGTCCTATTAACTGAGCAATACTACAATGCGTATTCTCTGGACTATTTCTATGATCAGCACGTCTGACTTGAGCGTCGGAGGGGTTTCCGCCGGATCAACCCCCGGCGTAGTTCACGTGTGTTCATTTCGCAGGTACCTCAGGATCATCAAGTTGTCAAGCTACTGATCTGCTTTGCTCTCCCAGTTTCTTTTCTACACTACCCAGGTGATCTAAGTAATTAGCATCATCATTTTGGCGCCGTCTGTGGGAACGATGCAAACCAGATCACGTAGCCAACAAGATCCTCCTGAGGCGTCTGCTCGGAGAAAAAATGACACAGCTAACGACCTCCCACCTCGTGGAGGCTCTGGCTTGCCACCTCCTCCACATCCCATGGATCCGCCTTGCGAGGTTCAGGTGATCCCCCCTCGGGACCCACCACTCGCCGATCCACCACTCCCTGCTCCTCGAATGGTTCAAATAACCGAGGATGCGTTCCCACGCATGATAGCAGAAGCTTCAACTCGCGCTGCCACAGAGGCCGTGACCTAATATATCGCCACGATGGGAGCAAATGCTCCCAACGCGATACCAACACCTGCTCCACATGTGGAGCCACCTATGGCACCACCGCCATCGACTCCCTGGGGGCTTACATCTGCCCCCAAAATATTTCGCTCGCCAAGGGTTATCGACTCCCTGGGGGCTTACATCGCCCCCAAAATATTTCGTTCGCCAAGGGTTATCGACTCCCTGAGGGCTTACATCTGCCCCCAAAATATTTCGCTCGCCAAGGGTTATCGACTCCTTGGGGGCTTACATCTGCCCCCAAAATATTTCGCTCGCCAAGGGTTATCGACTCCCTGGGGGCTTACATCGCCCCCAAAATATTTCGTTCGCCAAGGGTTATCGACTCCCTGGGGGCTTACATCTGCTCCCAAAATATTTCGTTCGCCAAGGGTTATCGACTCCCTTGGGGTCACATCGCCCCCAAAATATTTCATTCGTCATAGCAGGAGCCAACGCTCCTCCTCGTGGGGCCCCACTGGGTCCTCAACATGATCAATTTCTACTTACTTCTTGAACGGTTCAGATAACCGAAGAAGACCTTCAGCGTATGATCACGGAAGATTCAACTCGTGCTGCCACTGAATCAGTGGCACCATATATCGCCAAGGTGGGGCATCTCACCCCAGTGGTTCGTGATCGCCTCATCCTAAATAGGGGGCTATCCCATCCTAAAGTTGGGCATCTCCTCTCAAGGGTGGTACATCCACTGACCTTTCAACCCCAAGGGGTGTCACATCACATCAAGTGTTTCACGTCCCTACTTCAAAAACAGAAAAAAGGGCCTGACGCGCACGCGCGAACCAATGGCACAACCGTGCGCATCCACCTCAGACCATAGGTCTCGAGCGTCTCATCCTACAGTGGACAGTTATCCCCATCCTAAGGTTGGGCATGACCCTTACCTTTCAACCCTAAGTGGGTTCACATCACATCTCAAGAGACGAGTAGAATCTCCCTACTCAAAAAATAGAACATCCCCAAGGGGATGCACATCTCATCTCAAGGAACGAGGATAATCTCCCTACTCAAAAAATAGAACATCCCCAAGGGGGCGCACATGCCATCTCAAGAAACGAGGATAATCTCTCTACTCAAAAAATAAGAAGATGAAAAAACAGAAGAAGAAAGAAAAAGAAAAAAGAAGATGAAAAAATAGAAGAAAAAGAAGAAGATGAAAAAAGAGAAGAAGAAAGAAGAAAAAAGAAGATGAAAAAATAGAAGAAAAAAGAAGAAGATGAAAAAAAAAAAAGTACAAAAGCGGCTAGCGCGTGCACTGCACGCGAGAAGCAACCGTGCATTCGGATAGCGCGCCTCGGATAGCGCGCGCGCGCGGAAGAAAAGAAAGTTAAAAAAAAAAAAAAAGAAAAAAAAAAAAAAAAAAAAAGGAAAAAAAAAGGCTGCCACTGCGCGTGGGGCACCGCGCGTCTTGTCAAGCGCGCGCCTCAGCTGCCGCGCGAGAAAAAAAAAAAAAAAAAAAAAGAACGCTGCCAGCGCGCGTGGGGCGCCGCGCGTCTTGGCAAGCGCGTGCCTCGGCTGCCGCGCTGGAAGAATTAAATAAAAAAAAAAAAAGAAAAAAAAAAAGAAAAAGTGTTATAAAGGGAACAGCAGCACGTGAGTGACTGCCATCCATCACATCATGCTCTTCCATGCATGATGTCATGCATCACCTACCATGACATCGCGCGCGGCCCCTTTCTTAACTCATCAAATTGCGCGCAACTTTTACTACTCTCCACCAAATTGTGCATAGATTTTGACTCGCTTCATCAAATCGCACGAAAATTTCAACGCGCTTCACCAAATTGCGCGAGCTCTCCAACGCGACTAGCCAATTCGCGCGCGCTATCAAACGGTTAAATAAAAAATATTATTTTTCCACGCCATGCCAACGATTAAAGAAACACTACAACAGTGATCTACTCTCAATACGATCGGTACCCCTTTCGACTTGGCTCCCACATCGTCTCGAGAGTGGGGGGCTTGCGAGATAACTCCCACGAGGAGACCACTCGCTCCGTCCTACAACCCGTAGCGAGACAACTCCCACGAGGAGCCAACTCCCTCGCGTCTACGAAACCATAGCGAGATAACTCCCACGGGGAGACCACTCGCTCCGTCCTATAACCCGTTGCGAGGTAACTACCACGAGGAGCCGACTCCCTCGGGTCTCAAACCCACAGCGGGACAACTCCCCCGAGGAGCCAACTCCCTCGGGTCTACGAAATCATAGCGAGATAACTCCCACGAGGAGACCACTCGCTCCGTCCTATAACCCGTTGCGAGGTAACTCCCACGAGGAGCCAACTCCCTCGGGTCTCATAACCACAGCGAGATAACTCCCATGAGGAGTGATGATGCTAAAGTTTAGATCACCTGGGGTAGTGTAGAAAATGAACTGGGAGAGCAAAGCGGATCAGTAGCTTGACAACTTGATGATCCTGAGGTACCTGCGATCATAGAACACGTGAACTAGGCCGGGGGTTGATCCGGCGGAAACCCCTCCGACGCTCAAGTCAGACATGCTGATAGTGGAAATAGTCCAGAGAATACGGTTAATAGTATTGCTCAGTTAATAGGACGTACCTTAATAAAATGAGTAAAACCTCTATTTATATGTCGTTTATTGGGTTGGGTTTGCTTTGTTGGGCCCAAACCTTACTTGAAGGTGTTTGGGCCTCGGTGATATTAGTCTTCGATATTGGGCTCGTAGCCCAGTAGGTAAAGAAATTGTAGGTCCATTGGGTTGGCCCAATTAGGCATATCATTAAGCCCCCCACTCTCGAGTCGATGTGGGGGCCATGTTGTGATGGGTCTCAAATCGTGTCGAGAGTAAAAATTGTAGAAGTCGATCGTTGGCGTATGGCCTAATGGTATGCGAAAACGCGTTGGAGCGTGTGTCGGAGGGGCGTGAATGCGCGTTGGCGCATAGCGCGACAAGGTCGTCGCGATGTAAGTTAATTGAGTCGTCGGTTTTGTCCCGCGACGATGTAGTAGCGAATTATCTCCTCGTGGGAGTCGTCTTGTCGCGGGGTAATAGTGCTGATCGAGTTATCTCCTCGTGGGAGTTGTCTCGCGATAATGTAGTAGCACGGATCAAGTAATCTCCTCGTGGGAGTTGTCTATGGGGTAATCGAGTTGATCGAGTTACGTCCTCGTGGATGTTGTCTCACGATAATGTAGTAGCACGGAGCTAGTATTCTCCTCGTGGGAGTTGTTATTTTTCGACATTGTCAATGTTTTGACGCGTTGCTTATATGTGTTTACATATAGTCTTGTGCGTGATGTACTTGAGGAGGGGATCAGACTCTCAAGATTTTTTTTTATGGGGGTCGTGCCCCTTGTTAGACCTCGTGGGTCTTAAGTATGTTTGGACCGTGGCCACGTTTTAATGAATGACCCATCGAAAACAAGTAGATAAATTTGAGTAATCAAGCTGGCCAGGCTATATAGATTCTCATAATGTCTCTAAGTGCTTCTAGGGTTGTAATCGTGCTAACTTGAGCTTGTGATTATATAGTGAATTTCGGGCGAGTTGTCTCCTCATGGGAGTTGTCTCGCGGTGAGTAATATTTATCGACTGAGGTGGTTGCACGTGGGAGTTGCCTTGCAACGGATTTGTAGTATCGAGCGAGTTGGCTCCTCGTGGGAGTTGTCTCGTTGCGGGTTGTGGTACCGAGCGAGTTGGCTCCTCGTGGGAGTTGCCTCGCTGCGGGTCGTAGGATGGAGCGAGTGGTCTCCTCGTAGGAGTTATCTCGTTGTGGGTTCGTAGACCCGAGGGAGTTGACTCATCGTGGGAGTTGACTCCACGTGGGAGTTGTCTCGCAACGGGTTATATGACTGAGCGAGTTATCTCCT